TGAGCAAAATGGGACTATCAAACACACACACATTGACGGGTCTTGCTCTACCCGGGTGAATGTAAAGTGAAATTTGTCAATAAAATTTGATTCTCCCAATATGGTCAACGATCTATACTGAAAGAATGCATTAACGAATGAAATGAAAAAGCATCAGTGACGGTGCCAACCAAATGAAAGTCCATTAGAAAAGCCACTGGATCTGCACGAGCGGCTGCCTGTGACTCAGCTCCTGTTGTTTACACACAGTCAAACCGCCCATATAAGGACGTGTCTGAGCTGACTCCATTATGTAATTATAGGATACTGGACTGGGGGCGTCCAAAGGGCTTAGATCATGACATAAAACACTTTCTGGCATGTGGAAATGTGCTAACCGATGCTCTTGAGGCTAATGCAGTCTTTGGGCGACAAGATTAAGACTACAGTAGATTATTTATCTAGTTAAATTTGACTTGTTCTAATTCATAGTATTCAGTTTTCTCAGAATGCAGAATTTGAATGGGGTATTCTACCATTCCATCTACACACATTTCAGATCAATCTGTGTTTTGGACCAATCCTACAGTGGAGTCCTGGGAGTAATCTTTTCAATAGCATCTTTCACAGACCAGAGTCACAAAGCGCTTTAAAATTGTGGGCAGTTGTCCTCTCACTCTTCACAGATATCAAGGTCGCCAGTGCAGAAGGTGCATGCCAGACCTATTGTACATGCTTTTAGTGGTAGGGGAAACTGGAGCACCCGGAGGAATCCTACGCAGACACAGGGAGAGCATGCAAACTCCACTCAGAAAGGCCCTGTTCTGACCCGGATTCGAATCCAGAACCTTCTTGCTGAGAAGCGAGAATGCTCCACTCAGCCACCATGCTACCCAAATTAACATAGTTTTATAGCCAAAATCTTCAGGACTTTTTTGGAGACTATATTAAAAAACATATTTAGCTTTATGTCATTATTCTTATAAACTACAACTGTAGCCACAGCTCCAGTACTAGTACTGTTCTCTCTACTCTCGAGCTGAAGCCGAATTTGGGGATAGAAGGCCCGTGATTGCTCGGTAGTTAGGGCTCACATCTGGATTTACAAAGACAACATCAAAATTAATGTGAATTACAGAACAGGTCACATAACATAATGTTTTCTTGTTCTTTTCTTCTTTTCTTAATTTAATTCCAATATGGTTTTACTGCTGGCAAATAAACTGAATCTGAATCTGAATGAAACCAAAGTGTGTCAGAACAAACGTTGTCCATGAACACTTCTCTATCAGGCTTCCCTATCTATCTTTATACACTTCATGTATTCATCACAGAATATTTTGCGAAGGGGAAGGTGAGGATGAGATGTGGATGATGGGAGAAATTCAATGCTGTAACATGATTTGAAGCTCAAAATAATAAAACTTGTTAATCTTGTGGCTTTTTAGAATCTAACCAGCAACATTCTTATAGTTCACGTCGGCTGCTAACCACTCTCCCACTGCCTCCTGTCCCTGCTGGATATGAACACACTGCAGGTTATTCTGAGTTAAACAAATCACTGACATTTCACTAAAACACTCCCCGAAATCAAAATGCCAGACTTTCTATTTTTCCATGACTCACTGTATCCTCTCCATCTGCGGGAGGCGCTGGAGTGTGCCCTGCTCACTTATTCCGTTGCTTTTATGTCAGTCCCGGAGGAAATCCCACCTCTGTCTGTTGTGCGAGCATCTGTCGGGCACGATTGTGGTTTGTACGCCTGGTCACCGAGTGTGAGATCCGCCGTCAGCCTGTCACTCACGCCGCCGCAGCCAAACGAGGGCCGCGCTTCGACAGATGTAAGCGGCAGGTGCAGAGAAGGAGTATTAGAAAGTACTAGAATGATAATTAAGAAGGAGGGCAGCCAGCCGTATTTATCCATCCAATTAAACATGCAGTTCCTACGTCGCTGTGACACGGCACAGCTGCGATTGGTGCATGCTTTATTTTGGTTGTTCAAGTCATCGAGGAACGTTCCGGTCTTAACCAAGCCAAGCATCAACATCTGGAGATGGGTCCCGGGCGCTGCACTGTCTCTGGACTGTTGCTGCACTGCGGCCCTTGTGTCTTTGCAGAATGGGTCAAAAAAAATCCTTCCTATTTGGGGTGTGTTCACACATGATATGAACCAAGGGCGTAGGTTTGCGTGGGGACCATGGGGACATGTCCCCACCAATATTTGGTGAGGACTAAAAAGTCCCCACCAAAATGACATGATGTCCCGGGACCCGGACGGTCCGGGACACATGTCTTCCGTTTGTGCATACGTCGCGCCTCCTCCTCGCCTCCAGAGCAACAGCAGCAGCAGCAGCACGTGACCCGTTCCGTTCTCTGCAGTGATTGGCTGTCTTCTTCAGCGCCAAACTGAAGCACTGAGCAACTTTTTAATTTTTAAAAGTTAGCCAGCGTGAAGCAAGTGTTTTTTTTTGTTCCCTGAGCGTTGTAGCACGTGAGTAATCAGAGGAAAGTACTGTAGATCTATTACCATTCAAAGTACTTACGTTATTTCTAATCTGTCAGCGCACTGTTTAATGTTCCGAGGAGCTCACACGGCACAGAGACAGAACAGAACTGGCTCCAATAAAGAAACAGGTTGGTTGAAAGGCTGAAAAAATACTTATTGTGCTCTTACTATCCAAAATGTATAAGTGGGTGTGTTGTGTGAATCAGGATAAACTAGGGATGAAAATATTCCACGGATCCACAATTTACAACCTTTATCTGCTGATAATGTAATTTCTGTGAAATGTGTGACAGCGGGCACTTGCTGTTATTTGCTCTAAGCACATTCATGCGATGAACTCGAATGTGCACGTCCTGGTGCAGCTGCTGCCGCTTTGTAATGACAGCCGCGGCGCTCAGTGAAAGCACAGCTCTAACATGGTACCGAGCTCGGACCATATGCAGACAGAACCATGTTGCAAGTGCGGGTCTCCCTCGTATCTCCCCCGTTTCTCCCCTGTGTCTCTGACATGTCTCTCCCCTGACTCTTCCCAAAGCGCAACCAGCGCTCCCGAAATTAAAGCTCGGATACCTAAATTTTCCATTGCGTTAACGATGCATGCTGGTTGTGCGCAAAACACACCACAACAGGTCATTTAAGTTTTTATTTTGCATACTTGAGAGCCCTGTGAGTCATTACTTGCCTTTTTGGGTAGAGAGTGGAATAAAAAAAAGAAAATATAGAAAAATCCACACTGTTACTTATTGCCAAACTCTTGTTAACTCATTGTATTGAGAAATACTATGTAACTTTTGACATTGGCCAAGTTATATATATGATTCTGCAGTTCATGTATATGAATGTCTGTTTTTGATTGTCTATACCTTCTTATATAATTTAGAAAAAATGCCACCTCCACAAATAAGATAAAAGATATCAGGAGCTTTTTTAACAGTTGGAAAGTAAGTAAGAGAAAGCACAAGTAATAGAAAATTATGAATTGTGATGATTAATCTTCTGTTAACATACATAACTGCTTCTCATTCAGTCTACAGCTGAGTTTAGTATAGAAGGCAACACACTATTGCAAATATAGTGTGTGATTACACAACAAATTCTGGGGGAGAAACTCTGGACCCCGTGTCAATGGGTGTAGTCTCAGGTCGTAGTGAATGTCCCCACCAAGATTGGAACCAAACCTACACCATTGATATGAACTATATAGAAATTTGACACATGTTCTTACTTTGAAAAATGTGTCTGTATTCTTACGGCCTAAAAAGCAACAAACGCATTAGGTCCATCAAAAGTTTTTCATTCAGCAGAGTGGCGAGTGAATGTCCCACACAAAATCTAGATACAAAACACAAAACATTCTTGAGGCAGATCCCGTTTGAAATACGTGATATAAACGAAGCTTAAGCGCAAAATTCAGACTGGGAAGACCAGCATGCCGCAGTTCTCACCTCACACACCTCAGCCAGCCTCGAGCCTCAGCCAATCGCACAGCTCGGCCAGCCCCCCTGCCAACTACTGACAGCTAAGCTGGCAGTTTAAAAGCAGCCACTTCCTACTAACCAGCCCTTCCTGAAGCTCTTAACACCCACCGCCTCCCCAGCACCTCCTCGAGCTCCTGCCATGGCTCCTGCTCTGCCTACGCCCCATTCACACCATGCTTCTAGCCACCACCAGTGCTTGACCCCGGGGGATCTGAGATCATCTCAGCAGCAGTGATCTCCCCTCTGCAAGTGTCACTGCCGGGGTCAATGCGCCAAACAACAAATCTTTCTAAATGCATTCACGTGTCTGTCTTGGTCTCTCCAGATTGAAATGATGTTCTGTCACATAAGTGGACAAACACGCAATAATGTTTGAACTTCTCCTTTGACAAACACAGAGTCAGAGCTGCAAGCTGAGCCTAGACTGTATATGGACTATGCCCCTTTGCACAATGATGCTCAATAGGGAAGTGCTCATGGATGAAGATTTGCTGCAACTCCCTCTAGCTCCTTTTAACTCACATTAAAGAGTAAACTCTTCTCGCACAGTAACCGTTAGTTTAAGCCCAAAATGGTGAGTGCGACACAATCTGTGGTTTAGTGCTCTCTTCAATCCTGGTGTTTACATTTTGATACTTTCTTTGTAAACCTGGATCTCGGTCAGCCCACTCCAAACATACGGTCTAAGATGTATCTACTTCTCTTGCACTGTAATCTGAAGTCTGCACATGAACCATAGTGGCCATAATCTGTTACTTTAAACACATTGTTTTAATTACAGAGAAACTTCCTAAGAAATTATTTCATGTTTGAACCCACTGAACCGTAAAAGTCTTCATTAAAGTTTGCCCAGTTTAACTTTTGTTTTTCTCTCCAACCTAATTATACTTTATTTACAAACATCGGAACCCATGGAACCGCGGATCAGAGACAGATAAATGCAACAGGCCTTATTTGTGGAAAATTAGACTTTCATTAATAAAGAATTCCATATTTTGCTTTTTATTCGACCTATTCCAATTTTACACACAAATGCTTCAAATATCTGCTCCCATCTCCACCACCTCTTCCTCCTCTTCCTCTTCAGTCTCCTCAGTCTCCTCAGTCTCCTCTTCCTCCTCAGCCTCCTCAGCCTCCTCTTCCTCCTCTTCCTCCTCTGCCTCCTCTGCCTCCTCAGTCTCCTCTTCCTCCTCAGTCTCTTCAGTCTCCTCTTCCTCCTCAGCCTCCTCGTCCTCCTCTTCCTCCTCAGTCTCCTCAGCCTCCTCAGTCTCCTCTTCCTCCTCAGCCTCCTCGTCCTCCTCTTCCTCCTCAGTCTCCTCAGCCTCCTCAGCCTCCTCTTCCTCCTCAGCCTCCTCTTCCTCCTCAGCCTCCTCTTCTTCCTCAGTCTCCTCTTCCTCCTCAGCCTCCTCAGTCTCCTCTTCCTCCACTAAAAATATGTCCAATAGTTCTAGCATGCGCCTCCTATACTGGCGACCCCGCTCCCATCTCTGTGTGGAGTGAGAGACAAATGCCCAAAAATTAACAATTGTAAACCGCTTTGAGACTCAGATCTGCAGTGAAAAGGCGGTATATAAATAAAGATTACTTACTTATTACTTACTTACTTCCTCAGTCTCCTCAGCCTCCTCAGCCTCCTCAGTCTCCTCTTCCTCCTCAGCCTCCTCAGTCTCCTCAGCCTCCTCTGCCTCCTCAGCCTCCTCTTCCTCCTCAGCCTCCTCAGTCTCCTCTTCCTCCTCAGCCTCCTCAGTCTCCTCTTCCTCCTCAGCCTCCTCAGCCTCCTCTTCCTCCTCTGCCTCCTCTGTCTCCTCTGCCTCCTCAGCCTCCTCTGCCTCCTCAGCCTCCTCTGCCTCCTCAGCCTCCTCAGTCTCCTCTTCCTCCTCTTCCTCCTCAGCCTCCATCTCTCTTCACGTCACAATAACACTTTCCACTTCAGTCCCTCGGCCAAACAAGCAGCACGTTGTCTCCTTCGTTTGAATTACTCATAGTCTGGATTCATTTGCCTTCATTCATAATGAGCGATGTTCTTTAAGGGTCTTGATAATTCATCCGTGGGTTTCAGAATGACGAGAAAAAAAGAACATGCCGGAAGAAATTAACTATTTATTACAAAATGTGCTGAATGGGAATAAGTTCACGGAAAGGTTTTGAATTCACAATCAGCTCCATGTTTAATTGACAAACACAGGAGACACCTGGGAATGTGAGAGTTCAACCTTATGTCAAGCTGCAGACAGTTTGTCATCAGGGAATCAACTCTTTTGGATTTTATAATCTCCGTACGAAGCGCTTTGTGTTTCTCTGTGCATGAAACCACTCTACAAATACAGATTGAGAGAAGAACATCATTTGTAACTGTTTGATAGATTAAAGAAGCTTATTTTTGTTTTCAAAGACGACATAATACACAAAATAGACTTTTTCAGCTTTTGATCATGTTCTTGTTGCTATAGACCTCTGATACGGTGCAGGGCAGGGCCTGGTTAGTTCCGTGATGGGAGACCTCTGGAAACACCTGATGCCGCAGTGGGGCAGCTGTGGCTATAAAGTGCCAAACTGTGGTTGTGTCCTTGGGAAAGGCACTTCACCCACATTGCCTAGAATGAGTCTGGTGTGTGTGTGTGAATGGTTGCTGGTGGTCGGAGGCGCCAATGGCACATACTGGTTGCCTTGCTTCTGTCAGTGTGCCCCAGGGCAGCTGTGGCTACAGTAGTAGTTTATCACCACTATGAAGTGAAAGAATAATAACATGTGATGCGTCCTGAAAAGCGCTTTATAAAACCAATGCATTATCAATGCGTTTGAGTTATTTATTCTGTGGTCTGAGCGGAGCCTTCAGGGGCCTTCAAAACAGACCTGGGCAAAGTGTGGCCCTAGATTCACGTTTCAGTGTGGCCCAATGTTTGCAGCTTAGTGAGTGCAATGATGGCATGCTCATAATAATTCACCAAAAACATTCATCTGTCCACCTTAGCCTTCGTTATCTTTGATTCAATCCAAGCTAGAATTGAGATCTTAAGACATTCTAATGTATGAAATAATAATTTAGCTGCAGATGCAAAGAAAAACAACTAACACAATTTACACAAACCTAAATATAACATTGGATATCTCCTCTCTCTTCTGTGAACACTTTTGCTTATGCCCTCCATAATATACAGATAGAAAAGAATTGCCCCTGTAACAAATATAATCTCAGCACCTCTAGAATTAATTCTAGTCAGATGAGATCATACAGTAAATGTTGGTTGTTTGTTTTATGTACTTCATTTGTTCATTTTTTATTTATCAAGTTGCTATTACTTTAATTGTTCTATCGCCGTCTGAATAAATAAATAAATTCATAGTGGTTTATTTGTATCTACTGAGATTCTGATTGTGTCAAAAGTTATTGTCAATGGTGCTGGTGAGATGGTCATTTGTCAGTCAGCCAACTTCAGCTCTGCTATAGCTAAGTATTACGCTCAGAACCGCCCAAATCAAAACCGGGTTGTCGGCCCCTGGACACGTCTGGTTAACTAAAGTGGCCTTCTTACTAAAATGCTTGGACAACCTTGGAATATATCATGGCTATGGGTCTAAAATTATTCAATTCAATTTAATCTTAATGAATGGATTCAAGCCAACACAGATCAGAGAATCAAACAAAGATAAAAAGATAAAAAACACATTTTTAACCTTTTAACCCATTCTCTACCGACACTGTGGACTCGCGGCATAAAACCTTGGCTTTATGTGGTGCTCTTACAGAACGGTCACTGCTTTAGTAACTTAATTTGTAGGGCTATAAAAAGTGCATTAGAGTGTGTAATCTGCATGTTAACAGAATTATGGACATTAAGTACGTGTCTCTACATTAACATACATGCTGAGCTACTGTGCCCTTGTCTTTCAATACTACCTTACAGCACATTACACATTAAACCTGTTTAAGAGAATAATTGGTTAAATTGTATAACGTGGGCTGTATGCCATCTAAGGAAGTAAATGGACAGATATTGGCGATAACAATGGATTTTAATATAGACTGCATATATTTGCTGATTTTGAGGTTTTAAGTGGCTCTAACGGAATAACTGTAATATTGGTCCATATTGTTTCTACTGTATCTCTCTGTTATATTGTAATTATGACATTGGCAAGGCAAGGCAAGTTTATTTGTATAGCACAATTCATACACAAGGCAACTCAAAGTGCTGAACAAGATAGCATTAAAATCATAAATAATCACAGAACATTAAAAAGAAAGAAAAAAACATAAAATCCCTCAGTTGTATGCACAGCTAAACAGAACTGTTTTTAACCTGGTTTTAAACATTGTCAGAGAGGAGGCCTGTCTCACATCTTCAGGAAGACTGTTCCAGATTTGACATTGGTGATAATCCAGGACATTTATATACATGTATGAAAGGTGCACTAAAGGATTCAGGTTAGCTTAGCAGTAGCATCCGAGTAGCACCGAGTCCAAACAACTCCACCTCCCACCAAACTCAACTCCCAGCACATGAACACTGTTCCTGTAGTAACGCAGTGACAGAGCCCCGCAGCTTGAAATATGAAGCATTACACTACACTAGGGCTCAAGTTTATGAGCAATTTGTCTGCCGTACTTGTCAATCGCTATAGCTTCCCCTAAAAAACTAGTAATTAGCAAAACTCGACTGCCGTAGCATTACATAGCCCTGGCTGCGGTCCGAGTCTTCTTATATTTTGCATTTTCCTCATCTGATGTTCTCTTCTTAACCTCAACAAGGCAACTGGCAAACGTGAAATTGGCACTTTGAGAGTTTTCTGTTCAGACATTGTAGGTTTAGAAAATCTGACACGCAATTACAACTCAGACAGGTGTGCGCACTGACGAAAAGCAGCAGCGGGGTGGGAATGAACGCAGCTCATTGGTTTCGTTCTATAGGTCCATGTTCATGTCCATTTCTATTGAAAAGACACAACAACTTTTGAGGTTTACAAAGATGAATTAAATTTAATGATAACACAACTATTCTTTCAATAGAGTTTCAATCCAAAACAAATATCAAACAGTACAAACTTCCATATGGAAAATTGCAGTATTGTTTCTTTGCGTTGTTGTAAACCTCACAAGTGGTGACATAGATCACAATTGAAAGCAAAGGATTTGTGTTTCCCAATCGTGCCAAAATGTCTGTGTAATTGTCGACTGGGCCTTTAGTGGGTATCATCAGAGAAATGGCACCCTGACTGAGAGGATACTATTCAAATATACATGAATATATACACATATATCTATCTATCTATCTACAGTATATATATACAGAACATTTATGACATACAAATCTATTACAGTACTATTTTCACAGTATGTTCCCTTACACAGACATATCTTAGGCTGAAAAAATAGACCATTGTTTTAAAAAGATACTAATTACCCCCGAAAAAACCAGAGGTATTTACCCGAGACGGCCCGGTCTTTACTTTCTAAAACCAAGACAAATGGCTGAAATCTTCTGTGTGAGACCAGACATCGCTCTGAAACAAGAGAAAACTCACAACAAGCCTTGTTTTTCAGCGAGCACAAAAGTCCAGAGAGGAAAAACAACTGTAACCTTCTGTCCCTGCCACGCGCAGACCAGAAATCCACATGAACTTATAAATATAAATATGGTGAGAATGGCTGGTGCATAAATAAGATTACACTGAGCAGGAATGAGGCGATCCGTCACCGCGGGCTACTCCATTATTGATACCACTAGGATGAAATATAGATTGTAATCAATTCAACTTTCAGAACCGCACACAGTCACGATATAACTATTTTACAATGTAATTAAGACCCAGAGGGATAAAGGAGCTTGTCTTCAAGAATGCTGCAAGCAAAAAAGGTGTTTTTATAAAGAAAAATATTAAAGCCAAAAAGACTAAAACTTCTATATTATTCATCTTGAAAAAATAGACTTTGGAGGAAGAAAATGTAGAATTGTCTGTAGTAAAGACACAGACACATATATTATATATTCACAAATGAAAAATACAAAAAAAAACTATATTTTGTTGTCATATTTTTGGCCTGCATTATGTGAACATTTCAAGCTGCAACTTCAAGCTGATGGGGTATTTCAACTTTCAAACCACACAAAGCCATAAAACTCTCAAAACAGTTTGGTTCTATCACTATAGAGTTCACTGTTTATTGTCCGCCCCTGTCTAAGATCAGCTTTTTCAAACAGAATAGTGACAAATAAATGACCATTCTTGCTCAGCCAATCAGCTCAAAGCATCAATCAGTGACTCACAGGCCTCTTAAAGGAATAGTTCACCGTTTTTACATACTGACATATGTTCGTACCTTACCTTAGACTAGTTAATATGTACCTGTCTGGTCTTAGTCCGTGCGCTCTGTCATGCAAACGGAGCAAAAACGGGAGCACAACCGCAGCCTCCTCTGTATATTTTGTAGCACCAAAAGGTAGCTCCCGCTAGAAGCTACCAAACTCTTCCAAGTGTTCCCTATTAAATGTATATAGTTACGTGACGTGTTACACTGCAAAGTATAGTAACACAGAAATGTAACAGTCGATTTTCTCAGCGGATAAAACGGGTACTATATTGTGAGGCGTAGTAATCTGAGTAGCGCTACGTCCGCGCACTAACTTCTCTCCGGAGACTTTTCTCTCGCTGCTACTGTGTGTACTACAAGTCACGCTGCTTCTATTGACGGAAGTGAGCGAGAGAGACTTTTCAATTCTTTTTCAATTACTAACCACCTCCGATATGTGACATGCTTTGGACACACAACACACAACACTCCACAAACTGCGCAGCGTTTTTATTCTTCCCCTCGTGTTGTAATTTACTCCCATAGTTTACTCGCGTGGCCTTGGCTTGTCGATGACGGCTCAGATAGTGATTTCCCATAATTCCCAGG